GTATGCTCACATATATACCCTAGCCTTTCAAAGTAATACCCTTATATTATTTTTATATTAAAACTACAAAAATATTTCCAACAGGAATGACCTTTTACATCAGATCTTAGAAACAAAAATAAAGATTGCTGTATCACTGCCTTTAAGATCCATCAATGGATCCATCCTTTTTCTTGTTAACCCAACCTTACATTGCTTTTGCTTTGTTTTGTGCCTTATTAATATCTGTGCTTTCGGCTACAGTACCCTATGCTTGTATGTATGAAAATATTATTCATGAAACTGAATTCCATAACAGCAGAAATTTCTTTTTAAGAAGTAATAAATTCTTGTAGAATGTTTGAGAATAAATAAATGGAGGCGTGACCAATGAATTGACCATAAACGGGAGAAGAACTATGCTAGCAAATGTGGAAAAGTTAAAAGGACATGGATTCAGTGGCAGGTCAGAAAGGGTAAGAATGAATGGCCTCCAGCTAGTTAGTCTCCTCCTGGGGACAAGGGATAGGCTATTGTGTTTCAAAACACAATTTTATGCAAGAGGAAAACGTGAAAAAGAAGATAGCAATATCTGAGTCTTCTCAAGATCTATCAAGTATAAGACCCAGTAGGGGCAAAAAACAGAAAAATACAAAAGAAACCGACAAATGTTTCACCAGGTAAAACTGATTGATTTGATAAATAAAATTTTTTAAAAGCAATTGACTTAAATAAGATGGAAAATCAGAGATTTTTTTATAAATGGAGAATAAAAACATTAGATGTAGAAGTCATTTTATAAAAAAGACACTTGCACTGAATGTTTATCACAGCATGATTTGCAATTGCAAAGATGTGGAATCAACCTAAGTGCCCATCAATTCGTGAGTGGATAAAGAAAATGTGGTGTGGGTGTATATACACATATATATGTGTGTACTATACATACTATATATATATAGTACTATATATGTGTGTATGTGTGTACTATATATATATATATATATATATATATACTATATATATAGTACTACTCAGCCATAAAGAGAAATGAAGTAATGTCTTTTGAAGCAACTTGAATGAAACTAGAGACCATTAACCTAAGTGTAGTATCTCAAGAATGGAAAAACAAACACCACATGTACTCTCTAATAATTGGGAGCTAAACAGTGGACACGCACAGGCACTAAGAGACGTAAAGGACAATGGAAACCAAGAAGAGGGGAAGACGGGAGGGGTGTAAGGGACAAAAATTTACCTGTTGGGTACAATGAACAATATTCTGGTGGTAGGCACACTAAAAGCCTTGACTTAAACATTATTCAAGGTATCCATGTAATAAAAACATTTGTACCCCCTTAATATTTTGAAATTTAAAAAGAATCTTAATGGTAAAAATCTGTCATAAAAAAGAATATTATAAAGGGGAAAAAACTAGGTAATTCTTGCTTTATCTGGCTTTTAAATGGTCTCTGTGTTTTTTTTTCTTCCTTATAGAATGCCAGAGTCTCCTGGTGAAGTTCCCGAATATCCTTTGTTTGTCACAGTTGGTGACTGGCTGGATTCTATAAAGATGGGGCAATATAAGAATAACTTCATGGCAGCAGGGTTTACAACTTTTGACGTAATTTCAAGAATGAGCATTGAGTAAGTAGTACTAGGGTTATTACTGTAATTAGATGCTCTGCTCAGGGGATTATAAATTTAAAAGCTATATCAAGAATACCTTTTCTTAAGCTAGTATGTAATTTCCAAGTCTTTCCTTACCATTTCTATCATTCTAGTGGAAGTTAGACATTACACATTTAGCTATTATTTTTTGAAGTAATATATTTATTTTAAATAGCTATTTAAAATATTTTAAGTGCTTTCTAAAATGCCTATTACTCTTGTCCACATCACAGACTTTATATCCATGTAGTTTTACCTTGGCAAATTATTTATTATTCACATATACTAATATTGGATAATCAATTCCTATTACCTTCATCAAATTAATGCAATATTATCATGTCATTTCAGTGCTCCTTTTGTACATTATAATGGTCAACCATTTTCCAGAGTCTCAAAGATTATCCTTTGCCTAGGTGCAATAAAAATGTTCAACATGTGCTTAAAAGACTAGATACTAAAATGATTAGGTTGAGCCGTGTTAAATTGCCATTGTTTGAAGACAGTAATGGCAATTTCATACTGTTCAACATAATGGCATTTTTTTAGATCACTGAAAGACAATGAGAAATCAAATGGAGTTCACATATACCTTCTATCCTACATACTCACCATTTTGCTAATACTGTTGCAAATTTATATAATTATCTTAATTATATAGCCTTTAGGCCTTTGAAATTTCTTAATATAGATACCTGAATATGAAATTTTTCTTTGTATCGTTAAATTTGAGATTAATTCAATGTATTCTATGGAGCCAGAGAGAAGAAAAAAATAACAAACTCTTGCTGTTCATTTATATCTCTGCTTAACAATTAAGCTACACAATTTTTGGCAAATGTGACATAGTGCATATTTAATATATCTAAATATTCATTTTCTTTCTTGCATTTACCAGATCTAAATATTCATATTCTCTCTCTATTTTTCTCTTTCTCTCTCTCAGTGACATTAGAAGAATTGGAGTCATACTCATTGGACACCAGAGACGAATAGTCAGCAGTATACAGACTTTACGTTTACACATGATGCACATACAGGAGAAAGGATTTCACGTATGAAAGTACTACAAGCACCTCTGTTTTGTGCCTCAGCATTTCTAAAACAAAAGATATGCTTTCTACTACCCTCTCTTATGATTCTCCAAACATCACTTCACAAACTGCAGTCTTCTGTTCAGACTATAGGCACACACCTTATGTTTATGCTTCCAGCCTGGATTTTAAAATCATGCTACATAAGTCCTCTCTGAATAACCTGCAGATAAAACCCTGGCCCCCTGCAGATTACCACTACATAATGGTAAATAACTCAGCATGGATGTGTAACTTTGTATAGCAGTATATGGGAAGTGTTCACGGACTTAACCTAGTGGAATTTATCCAGGTGTGGCTTCCTTAATGATGTATTTAGAGTGTGATGGTAAAAGAGAAAGAAATAGTTGACCTTTCTTTCATGTTTTGTGATCAAGTAGCTTCCAAATTGACATAAATGTTTGTTTTTTAGGTAATTACATTCAACTCTATGGGTTGTATTGTTACTTTATTTTTTAATAGTTTAACTGGTGGTGCCTGATATTGTAGAATTATTTGCAGAAATGACCAGTGATAACATGTAGTGAATTTTTGTCAGGCGTGACTATAGGAAGAAGGGGGTTATTAGGGAGGGACAGGGAGAGAAATATTGTGCTTTTAAATCTTCTAAGCCTGGGTTTTTCATTTTTTTAAATCAACTTTATAGCGTCCTACATATTTCATAGTAAGTGGTAGTTTAAAGGCTTTGCCCCTCTAATTTTTTACCAACTATAGTATATTTCTCTACTACCTTATGAAAAGCACCCCTGAAAAGACCAAGAGTGAATTCATTGATCTAATGGCTTTTGTAGAGGGAAGCTTGGGATAAACCCATAACTGTCGTCTTGGTTCATCTTCACAAGTTTGCACAAGTAATTATCAGAGCACTGAGAAAATTAGTCATTCTCAGTAGAATTGCTTTGAATAACATATATAAGTTTATACCCTTAGATTTAATGTCAAATGATAATTAATTTAATTTGAACAGAATTCTATGGTATCTCTACAGTGGCCCAAGAAAATAAACATATCTAGTTGACTGTCATTGGTACATTTTGCAAGGTGAATAATTCTTATATTTTGTTTGC